GGCCTTTCACCCTGAGGCACCAGATGTCCTTAATTGTGTCCACTGCAGACAAGCAGATGTGGAGGAGGAAATCTGAAGTTGCAGACTTGCGGCTCAAATATCATCTCCCATGTTTCGGCAGCACTCACTAGCACTACATCCGGTCTCAGCCCAGTGTCAAACAGGGTCGGACGGGGGATGCTGGAGACGAGAATTCTTGTAGCTTTGAGATGCGGATGATGGTGATTTGAACGGGGGCAACCCATGGGTATCAGGTAAAAATCATAATTGGATGTCGTTTCTGATGCTATACGCAGGCAAGTGTAGCAAATATGTGTGATTTCAGACATTCGGTCCACTGGAATGTGACTTTCAAACATTTTCCCATTTTAGTCAAGGGTTTTTGACATGTCCATATTCGATTTACTTTAGGATTTTTCCACATACCCAAATGTCACAATTGTTTTTAGACACACCTACAAGGTGGTGCCCCACGAGTTATAAATTGGTTATAAGCCCATTAACTATAGATATATCACCTATAAACCATAGTTATTGGAGTTATTTGCATCAACTTAGCTATCTCGGGGGCACCGCTTTGTAGGTCGCGTTTTTGTTGCTTCCCGGGCACCGGGGCAGGACATGAGTCCCAGCCAAGTCTTTCTGATGAAGCACTTGGAGGAGGCGTAATGAAGCAACGCGAGACAGCAACCTCCATGTGGAAAACCCATGGGATATGGGGTTTTCCCCATGGAAAATGATCTACCCTCTGGTAATTAACGGTTAGCTATTGAAAATGGCACATAGAAATAGTTGATTTACCGAACTTAAAGATTGTGAGTTTCCATAGCTATGTTAGTTCACCAGAGGGTACACATGGTCTCTCCTCCACATCTATGCTAGTTTACCCGTTTTTTACGGAAGGGATAAACATGGATATGATGGGATAAACATGGATATGATGGGATATGAAGTTTCATATATGATGATCAATAGGGAAAATGGTGATATAATGGAATGTATCAGCCTCTGTGGGCTGATGATTGTTTTTTAAAGATCGGAAGTGTTACGGCATGTATTTTTTAAAAAAAAAACTGGGTGGTGGTTTGGAACATTACTTTTTCCCCACCTGCCAGGTGAGGGTTGTTAGATTTTATGTCAGTTGCCTGGTCCTCCTCCTCCTCTCCTCTCCTCTCCTCTCCTCCTCTCGTTGTCCTCCTCCTCTCGTTGTCCTCCTCCTCTCGTTGTCCTCCTCGTCCTCCTGCTCAACTGCGACTCGCGATCCACAGTGTTCGCTGTCGGACCTCAACCACGACCATCCACGCCCAGTGTTCCCTGCCGGACCTCAACCACGACCATCCACGCACAGTGTTCCCTGCCGGACCTCAACCACGACCATCCCCGCCCAGTGTTCCCTGCCGGACCTCAACCACGACCATCCACGCCCAGTGTTCCCTGCCGGACCTCAACCACGACCATCCACGCCCAGTGTTCCCTGCCGGACCTCAATCGCGAGTATCCACGCCAAGTGTTCCCTGCCGGACCTCATGTAGGAAGATAAAATGTCAGATAGAGTGCCAGAAGATTTGCCAGGTAGAATGCCAGAAAATATGCCAGAAGATATGCCAGATAGATATGCCAGAAGATATTCCAGAAGATATGCCAGATAGAATGCCAGATAGAATGCCAGAAGATATGTCAGAATATATGCCAGAAGATATGCCAGATAGAATGCCAGATAGAATGCCAGAAGATATGTCAGATAGAATGCCAGAAGAAATGCCAGATAGAATGCCAGAAGATTTGCCAGATAGAATGCCAGAAGATATGCCAGAAGATATGCCAGATAGAATGCCAAATAGAATGTCAGAAGATATGTCAGATAGAATGCCAGAAGATATGCCAGATAGAATGCCAAATAGAATGTCAGAAGATATGTCAGATAGAATGCCAGAAGATGTGCCAGTAAGAACATGTATAAATGTCATGGTGGGGATCCCACGAAGTAAAGTATTTTCCACAATAGTTGGGATGATGATCCAATCTGACTAATATTTTTCAGAGGGGTTGGTCAACCACCAACCAGTAAAGTTTCACGACATGTCTTATTTTTGGGGTTATTATGTTTTCCATGAGGGAATCCATGAGACCAACCAGCAGTTCAGCCAGACAGACATTGGAGATATTTGACACGGTCCGTATAATTAGCATTAATTTGCTATATATAGATCGATTGTAATTTAATACGTTAATCTTCTGATATTTATTTGGCAATCTTATATATATATATATAAATGACAGCATGTATTTACCAACCAACAAAAAGAGATTTACTTTTTGCGGGCATTCAGGAGAGCTGAAAGTTGCCACACATGTAGATATGTGATTGACCAGACATCGATACTTGCAAAAATAACCGTTGGGTAGTTGGTAGTTGTTCATTATCATAATTTCTGGATATGTCGTTACATGATGTATGGTTATTCACGTTGACAATCTGGATTTATCAACTAAATAACTATGGAAAATCACAATTTTTCATGGGTAAATCAACTATAAATGGCAATTTTCAATAGCTAACCGTTACTTACCAGAGGGTAACCATGTCAGCATATTTGCTGGGCACATGTTATTTGCGAATTGTCTGCTGGAGGTTCCAGGGCAAAACTTTTCAGCTGTTTCCCTGGATTTCCAGGATGAGAGGCAAGCTCAACAAGCAAAGATGATCTTGGAGGATGCAACGTCAAATGGGTACAGGATGGGGCCCCCAAGATAGCTAAGTTGCCTTATAAGTGGCTTTATGGTAGATATAACTATAGTTAATATTAAAACACACAAGAACGGGATAAATTGATAAAAAATATTGTTTTCAGGATTCATGAAGACACTCTGAGTCTCCAGTCAAGCCACGTTTCTTCCAACTGCTGCTCGGTCAAAGCCTGCCCTGTTTCATTGTGAGGGCTCCAAGTGCAGTTGTGTCTTCAGTAGACTTGCGATCCCCGTTCCCTTCTGACGCCATGGGTTGCTCTAGCTCCAAGACTTCCAAGGCCGCCAAGCCCCACGAAGCTGTGTATGCAGCTCCCAGGGCCGAACAAGCCGAACAAACCGAACAAACCCAGCCTGCAGTTGAGAGCACAGAGGCTGCAGTTGAGGCAGTTGAGGCAGTTGAGACCAAGGAAGCAACGGAGGTGACAGCTGAGCAGCCTGTCCCCACAGAAGCCAAGGAGGATGAGGAGAAAGTCGACGTTGAAGAAGCGGAGAAAGCCATTGGCGAACTGAAAGACACAGAGCTGAAGACGTCGCATGTCGAAGTAAAGCCTGAGAAGGCTGAGGATACTGAGACAGTCACCACTGCTACCAAGGAAGACTCACCAAGGCTCCTTGATGTCAAAGTTGAAGCAGCTGAGACCCAGACCGGTCCATGTGTTTGCGGCAGCTTGTGGTGAGTCCGGCCCTAATTTGAGAATATTCAAGGCACATGCGACGTCATGTGCCGACTCTTGGTGCCTGCAGAGGTCTCGGAAGTAGACGTTTGCCAGCGAGACTCAAGGATGTTTGTGCAGAGATTGATCCGATCTCAGCACTTAGCCAACGCGACGAATGCGAACAGTGTCAAAAGAGCAGAGGAAGACTCGTAGTCCTAGGAATTGTGAATATGGTTATTTTAGGGAAAATGATGTCCCAAAACCCAATGGATTTGGGTTCGCGGTCTATTTTCAGACAATGGTCCCGAATGTTTTCTGAATGTTTGGTGAACGGTTCCGTTTCTGTAGTAGATATTGTGAAAGAAGGAATATAATATGAGATATGATATTGTACTACTGTAGGGGTAGCAGACACTATCCCAATCGCAATGTTTTGGTGCTTGAGGACTACTGTAGCTAAGGTCTAGGCTTCGCTGGCCTCCAGCGTTTTCGTGGGGTATCTGAAGTTGGCTAAGATAGTTTGATACCCCTGATGGTGACTAAAAATGACCAGCATGTGCAAACTCAATGCATTCCATGCCCCAAATTTTGCACCCTATCCCATTGTACATCTTCAGTATTCTTCAGTCTTTTGTCCACCACCACGATGAAAGTGGCGCAAACCGTTGCTATGTTTTTGGAGAGACTTGCCGGACCGCCATTCTTGCTACGTATTCATATCTCCATCGTAGTGCAACAGATGCAAGGAGATGATATGTAAGAAGCCCGGAAATCGGTAAAAGCTGTGAAAGCCGCTCGTGAGTGCTCTTTTCACCATCATGGTAAGTCATGTAAGTCACTCAAACTCCTTTCTCTAACTCAAATTTCATAATCGAAAGAAAACATAACACACTGAAGCGTGAACCTCTATAGTCCCTTTATCCTGATACGAACATAACACTCCCAAGTCCGAACACGAGCATTGGTTATAGGTAACGGTGGTGCCCCCTAGCCCGACAGATACATCCATCAAACTCGTTGGACGGGAAAACAGCCGGGAAAATTGAAGAACACAATGCAAAAACCAGGTTTTTGTAACGTTGGATCAATAGTTGAAAAGTTGAAAACTGTTGAACATTTTTTTAAGGTACTTTTAGTACCAACATTCAGAAACATATTCTTGGATAATTCATAGAGATCCAAAGATCTTGGATAATATAGTAAATGATATATCTACATTGATCCAATACTAAACCAATGCTGGTTACTTGGATATGTGCATGATAAACCATCTATCAAACTAGAGACTCATGGCGATGCCCCCTACTTTGCCAAGTGTGTTTGTTCCCCCCCCTGTGGCCTGTGGTGGTGGTATGGGTTTTCTGGTCCCCCTCCTCCCTGTGGCCTGTGGTGGTGGTATGGTTCTTCTGGTCCCCCCCCCCGTGGCCTGTGGTGGTGGTATGTTGGTATGTTTGTATGTATGTTGGTATGTGTGTTGGTATGTATGTTGGTATGTATGTATGTATGTAGGTAGGTAGGTAGGTAGGTAGGTATGTATGCATATGTACGTGTGTACGTAGGTACGTGTGTACGTAGGTACGTAGGTACGTAGGTACCTAGGTATGTAGGTATGTAGGTAGGTATGTAGGTAGGTAGGTAGGTAGGTATGTGTGTATGTGTGTATGTGTGTATGTGTGTATGTGTGTATGTGTGTATGTGTGTATGTATGTATGTATGCATGTATGCATGTATGTATGCATGTATGCATGTATGCATGTATGCATGTATGCATGTATGCATGTATGCATGCATGCATGCATGCATGGATGGATGGATGGATGGATGTATGTATGTATGTATGTATCGTATGTAATGTATGTATTGTATGTAATGTATGTATGTAATGAATGTAATTAATGTAATTAATGTAATTAATGTAATTAATGTATGTAATGTATGTATGCATGTATGTATGTATGTATGTATGTATGTATGTAATGTAATGTAATGTATGTATGTATTTGTATGTATGAATGTATGTATGTATGTAATGTAATGTAGTGTAGTGTAGTGTAATGTAATGTAATGTAATGTAGTGTAGTGTAGTGTAATGTAATGTAATGTAATGTACTTGTATCTATGTATGTATGTCTGTCTGTCTGTTTGTCTGTCTGTCTGTATGTATGTATGTATGTTATGTAAGTATGTATGTATGTATGTGTGTGTATGTATGTATGTATGTTTGTATGTATGTATTGTATGTAATCTATGTAATGTATGTAATGTGTGTAATGTGTGTAATATATGTAATGTATGTAATGTATGTAATGTATGTAATGTATGTAATGCATGTAATGTATGTAATGCATGTAATGTATGTAATGTATGTATTGTATGTAATGTATGTAATGTATGTAATGTGTGTAATATATGTAATGTATGTAATGTATGTAATGTATGTAATGTATGTAATGTATGTAATGTATGTAATGTATGTAATGTATGTAATGTATGTAATGTATGTAATGTATGTAATGTATGTAATGTATGTAATGTATGTAATATATGTAATGTATGTAATGTATGTAATGTATGTAATGTATGTAATGTATGTAATGCATGTAATGTAATATATGTAATGTATGTAATGTAATGTAATGTCATGTCATGTAATGTAATGTAATGTATGTATTTAATGTAATGTAATGTAATGTAATGTAATGTAATTATGTATGTTTGTATGTATGTATATATGTATATACACCACCACCGGGGCATCATACCCCCCCCCCATCCCATGGGGGGGTGGGAACACGGGACACGGGACCATATATTTACATATATTACAGATGTATATCGAACTAGTTAATGGAGTGCATAAACCAACAAACACCACTGGAAGGTATCAACTCGTAATAGAAGAGTAGGAGTTGCCACACATATCTCCAAATTTCTCAAGATTAAGTTTTTGCCACAATTTAGGAATTGGCTGGTGTCTTCCTTGAGTTTCCTTATGTTGAAATGTGTTCAGTATTGTGGATTTCATACAAGGTGGTGCCCCCCCAGTTGTAAATTGCTTATAAGCCCATTAACTATCGATATATCACCAACAAAAACCTTTGTGAAATTGGAGTTGTAAACGCATCAACTGAACGCTATCATAAATCAGCTATAAATCCCATCATTTTCCTATGGTTTCCAAACGGCTTTCCTTAGCGTTCACGAACAAATGGGGCACCACTTAGGTATCGAACTTCCGGTTTCTCAGCGTTTTCAGCTGCAGGAGCTGAGCCCCGCAAGTTTGGTCTTTCGCCAGAAACACGTGGAACACGAGGACGGCCTGCTGGAGGAAGGAATGCGAATTTTTGCTGTGGATTTACATCAAATAGGATCCATGTATGGTATATATGGTAACATTTACCATCAATATATCCCAAATGTTTGCGTATATACCATACATGGATCCTATGGGCATTGCTTTATTAATCTTCATTATGTACTTGTAATGGCTATAATTTGATACGATGGTAATCAAACATCAAACACGGCTGTAAAATCCTGGAACGAAATTGTTTTTTGAATGGGAAAATCATCGAAGTAAATGGGGTATTTTTCAGTTAACCATGTTATTCTTGTGATTTATATCCAGGAACATGGAATGGTTGGAGGTAAGTGTTGAATTTAAGTCATTTTTGTCATGATTTGTCAACTAGTGTTTGTGGGGAGATCCACTTATCAGATGGAAATTTTGTGTAATTAAATTTGCAAATGGCTGGGGATTTAGAGAAAAATCGGAACAGCTGAATTTGGTGAAGTGTGTTCTGTTTGCATGAAACAGGTTGCTCAAACTAAGATTACACAGAAGTACATAAACAACAGTCACCTTGCTCTTAGCCATGGTGTTTGTTTTTGGGGGTTTCCCATCATGTTGCGCAATGTATGTCCAAAGCCTACGTTTGCATACTTGGGGGGTTGTATAGATGGGGATACCCCAAGAGCTGGATGTTTTGGGGGCACCCCCATTTTAGGAAACCTCCACTTTTGCGTGGATTTTGTTTGTGTCCCAATTGTTCAATCTCTGGTCAATTTCACACGCCATTTTCTGCAAGCAACACACCCACAAGGCACTCGGTAGATTTTCGGCTTGCAGTGTTTTGGTTGTAGGCTGCATCTTACCCCGATGGCAAATCTTGCAGCTTTGAAGGCGCATCCATGTGATCTGATGTCCATTCATTGCCCTAAACCCCAATGTGTGGGACGCCGAAATGGCAAGGGACTCCAGTCATTGTTTTCAGCAAACCATTGCAAGGTGGTGCCCCCCCAGTTATAAATTGGTTATAAGCCCATTATAACTAGTTCGATACATCACCAACCAAAACCATAGTGAAATTGAAGTTATTTGCACCAACTTAGAAATCTTGGTGGCATCACCTTGTAGTACTGTGGTTGTGCAGGACTCACCGCAGTCGAAGCAACTGATCGAGGACACACATGGAGATGTCACAAGCCATGGTGATTCGGGGGTTTCCTATCAGTTATGGCCCAACTAACAGTCTTAACTGGGATTATAACTTCCATAACTAAGGTTATAATATATTATATATATATATACGTAATCCCAGTTATAACTGTTGAGGGCCATGAGTGTAAAATGGGTGCCCCAAAATGGGTGATGTTTGTTAAGGGCCAGACCAAACCGCGGAGCCGCTCCTCCCCGGCCACAGCAGGAGGTTTCTCCCAGAGTCTCACCTCGTGCCGCAACGCCCAAGGCATGCTGGGTGCTGGGGCCATGATGATTGGAAATCCCCTAACCAAATGGAGCTACTGATTGATCTGATTGATCTGATTGGTGATGATGGTTAATAGTGGTTAATAGATGTTAATAGGCTATAAACCAACAACAATGGGAATATGATGGTGATCTGATTGGTGGTTTCAAACATGTTTTCATTTTATGTTCCATTTCATATGGCTGGGATGTCATCCAAAACCCATTGACGAACGACTCATATTTTTCAAGATGGTGTGTTTGCACCACCAACCAGCCTATAAATTGAGGTATGATGGGATTATTAATGGGAATTACTGTGGGATATACCTATCGGATATACCACTAATGTGATGTTTCTTTAGATACCTAATCAAAGATGGCTAGCTTGGAAATGCTTGGAATTCCCCGAACCAAATGGAGGTGCATATTCCATTGGCATGTTTGATTACCGGATACGGTAACGGTGGAGGGTAAAAAAATCTTGGACGAATCAGAGGGAATATGATGTACTGGTCAGTGGTTAGGAACATTTTATATGTTCCATAATATATGGGATAATCAGTGGATAATCCTTCCTATTGACTAATATTTTTCAGAGGGGTTGAAACCACCAACCAGTGTAACATTTGGATTCAAGCAACAAACATTTGGATGAAACTGTTGATTTCGATCCTCATAAATTCGAACAGGGACAAACACGCGTGCTATCTTAGCCAAATATTGACCAATGTTGGGGGAGGAAGATCCATGACCACCAACTATTGCCACTGTGAAAGGCTTTTGATGCCACAGCATCCTGTCAAATCCCCATTTCTGAATATACTTCTTTGGAATTAGATGCGTTTATCATCTATCCGATTCCGCGAAAGCTGACAATTTTCAGCACCAACAAACCCAAGATGTATATCTGCAGCCCACTAGATATAGGTACTCGTATACACGATATCCATAAGACGGGGAAACGGGCAAGTTCACCTCTTTATCTACAGTTATGATGGCAGTTATGGCCCAACCAACAGTCATAAATGGTATTATAACTCCCATGATAACTAAGGTTATATAAAGTTTTGTATCATGAAATAATCCCAGTTATAACTGTTACGGGCCATTTGCGTGTAGCCATTTGCACCCCCCTTGTAGCCATGGTTCTTCGAAGCCAACGCTGTCAGGTGTCGGTGTCGCCAAGAGTCTCACCTCGACCCGAAGCGTTCCAAATGCCCAAGGCGCCGCGGATACGACGCGATTTTTGGGACGGTGGGTGTCACGTTGGTGCGATGCTGTGGGGGATTATTTCATGATATATTTCACCTTAGTTATGGGAGTTTATGGGAATTATAATGCCATTTATGACTGTTAGTTGAGTTAAAGTAACTAGTATTTCTGAGATAGGTTAAAGTTACGTCAATGTGCAGATGTCAACAGCGGTAACTAATTTACGATCATGGAGGCATATAATTATGTACATCCAACGTAAAACAGTTTTTTCCTAAGTATTTGGGATTTAACATTGTATGGGGATGTGATAAACATCCATGTCCACAAGGGTGTTGACTCAGAACCACTATGTATGATGGAGACTTAAACTGACAAAAATGTGGCTGAACTAATGAATGTACTAGCCCAACTGCTATATAAGATCATCGGACATATACAATGGATGCACGAGAAATTGCAAAGTCAAAGTGTACCTGAGTTTGCCTGAAATAGGGCACCCCCAGCTATAAGTTGGTTTATAACCACCATGAACTTTATGGATATATCATGATATATCTATAGACTCATGCAGATACTATATAAACCCCAAGTAAAATTGGATAGCGAAGCAACCATTTGGGGCAGCTCCAAATCCCCCCAGGAGGACTCGCCCAGAGTTGAAGCCCCGCGCCCCGAAGCCTTCCGAGTTCCCAAAGCCTCTGAGTCGCAGTGATAAGTCAGTTGATGTATACCATCAGTTACCCTCTGGTAAATTAACATAGACCCTGGCAGAGAGGGGTTGGAAGATTAGTTTCCATTAAAACTAGGCTATTTTCAGGGTCTATGTTAATTTACCAGAGGGTAATATGTATCTGCATGTATCTGCCATAAATATCTATAAATATCCTTGAATTATAAAGCAATTTAGTTTTTGTTGGAGGATGGGGCATTACCTTGAATGATTCAAAAGCAGTTTGGTATTCAGGTTTAGCATACATAATATGGTATATTAAGACGGATAATTTGATCCATTGAATGCCATATAATGCAACCGGTATATCTGGGCCATCTATAGCAAGGTCAAACCTAGCAATCACATGGAGCTAGCAGATTTAGCGAGGTTTTCGTCCAGGTTGGCTCAGTAAATTCAAGATGGTTTAACCCGAACAGGTTCCATCATCACTTGTTTTTTGGAAAACATGAATTGTTCGGCCTCTGAAAAAAGTTTGTGTGTAAGCTGGGGGGGACAGGAGTTACGTATTGGAGCAAAAGTATGGTGCATACCCCGGTGTTGGAGAAACCGCGAAAGGCAATATGACGTCATATGGGGATGGGTCAAGACCTATTATCACCATATTTGGGGAAGAAACACCCATTAGCCAGCTAAATCAGGGTACCTAGGGTGCCGGGGTTTGGACTCATAGCCATATATTCTCGGGGTACGTTCATTGAAATATAAGCCTCAAATTAGACCCTGAACGGTTATGGAAGGGCCAAGTGCCACATAGGTGGTGATGCTGTGATGATGGTGTTCACTGCTACAGGGTCAATGGATATCCAGAGGTAGATTGATTTGTGATTGATCATAGTCACCCTGGAGTGGATGGAATGTGGATATTTCAGAAAAATATCAAACTATTGGGAATAGTATTGAAATGATATTCTATCTACTTTAGGACTTTAGGATGATTATATGGATACTTTGAGACGATGGAACTTGCAAGTGAGGAGCCAAGGGGAATAGATATTCGATGGGAGAACCAAATGTTTCAACAGAAAATTGTGTGTATAGCAGCATAGCTGTACCCCAATTTATGATAGAAAAAAGTAGTGTACACATTAGTAATCCCAACATACGGTCGAAAGGAACGACCTGATTAGAATAGTGGTAAATTGCGTTTCTATCTTTTTGGGGATTACTATATATATATACAAGGTGGTGCCCCCCAGTTATAAGTTGGTTTATAAACCATAGTAAGTAGTTCGATATATCTACCATAAACCCTAGTGAAATTGGAGTTATTTGCACCAACTTAGCTAACTTATACAAGGCACCACCTTGTGTATATATATATATAGATAGTCATCCCCAAATAGATGGAAAAGTAAATCCCTACTAATTTGATGGTGAATTACTTTTCCATCTATTTGGGGATGACTATAATTTACCACACTTTCACATGTTTAAATGCCTCCCAACGCCGCGTCAACGAACTTGAGGCAGTTTTCAGTGGACCTCGGGCCGAGGTGTGGAGAAAAGTGGTGAATTTGATTGGAGAAATCTCAGAAAAACCGGGATTTATATGGATTTATATGGATTTATATGGATTTAACAACCAAAATACAAACGGCGATTTGTTTTCCTAAAAAAAATATGGGTTTCACCTAGAAATTTGGATTTATACTCAAAGAAAAACATATTATATTGTCAGAGCTATGTCAGGAGAAGCAACAAGGATAGATGGTCCCAGTTGAGGAAAAACCTGTTCCAGGAAGCCATGAATTCGATGTATTTTCTGGAGAGTTCTGGATACAAGGTGGTGCCCCCGTTCGATAACCAAGTTGGTTATATAGGTGATATATCATGATATATCTATGGTGTATAGGTGATATTATAACTCCAATAACTATGGTTTTTGTTGGTGATTTATCGAACTAGTTAATGGGCTTATAACATCTTATAACCAATTTATAACTGGGGGGGGCAACACCTTGTAGTCTTGGTGCTCATTCATGCTGTATCGATGGCATGGTATCCAGAGCACGAAACCGGAGCGATGAGAAGTTGATGATGTTGATTCCCGTGCGCTCCAGATTTGGTTTCAAGGAAAATTGAAAATAAATGTGTGTTTGTCATGGTTTAGTTTGTTTGCAATGGGGTACTCCAAACTTGTTCTTGAATGGCAATGATTTCCATGGTTCGATGGCTTTTAAAGTTGTGAAAACAGATGAAATCCCCAGGTTCCACCCTGGTTTCCCCAGGTTTGCCCCCGGTTTCTTCAAAGAATCCCTTCCATCAACCCACCTGGTGGCTCATCCCACTTAGTAAGTGGGTTATATCATTATATCATATCGCAGGTATAAGTGGGATAAGTACCGCTAATCCACTTATCACTGGGATATAATATATGATATACAGTAATCCCCTTATAACTGGGATATAGCCCACTAATCCACTTATAACTTGGATAATATATATATATATATGTATGTATTATTATCATCATCATTATTATTATATAATATTATTATTATGATTATTGTTTTTATTTTTATCTATATATATTGTGTATATATATATATTGGAATCCACTTACGATTCGTGGGATGAGCATCAATGCGCCACCAATAAGTCATTCTTTGTGGCGCCACAGGCACCGTTTTGTCCACCCGTGTGGCTGGACCCCCTTCCAGGCCAGTCGGGAGATTCACGGGATATGGTATCAATGATTATAGATAATATCGGTGGTCCACACATGATATAAATCATGATATAAATGATATATATATATATATGTACATATATATATATATGTATATATATATATATATAGGTGACACGGTTTTTATATTACATTTTTTATTTAGTGATTTGGATGGACGGCTACGACTGTTTGTTTCTGCACAAAAAAACTGGATCAGCCCGACCAGCTGAGATTTCCATGACGGAAACATCGATGGCATGGCGGTCTGACCTGGATGGTAGTTTCATTGCAAGGCGGTGCCCCCGTTCAATAGCTAAGTTGGCTATATAGGTGATATATCTATGGAAAATAGGTGATATGATAACTGATAGCTCCAATAACTATGATTTTGTTGGTGATACATCGAACTAGTTAATGGGCTGTTTACCAATTGATAACTGGGGGGGTCACCACCTTGTATGTTCAACATTGTTCAACCATAGAAATGCCATGATCCATGACCAGCACAATCTTCAATGGGGGGCTCAACCACCACGCAGTTAACTTTTTCAGAAAAGGAACACCGAGCCAAGAACACAATTTCTATGGGTTAAAATCACCAATGTTCATTGCTTCACCACTTCTCATGGGTCAAATCATGATGTTTACTGGCTAAATCATGCTGTCCATCACCATGTTTACTGATTTTACTGGTGAAACCACACGTTTTTTGAGGGGTGAAAGCCTACAAGGTGGTGCTCCCAAGATAGCTAAGCTGGTTTATAACTCCAATGTCACTATGGTTTATCGAAGGAAGTTTAGAAGTCAAACCTCCGACAATATGGACAGATGGAAAAGCAGAGGGGTGGAAAGAGTCAGAGATGAGAAGAGAAGAAGAGAGAAGCTCAGAGAAGAGAAAGAGTCAGAAGAAAGAAGATGCAGGTGCGCGAAAAGGTAGGAAAGTCGCGAAACACGGTGTTTTTTCCAATGATTTGAGTCTCCGGGGGGTCGAGAAGTAGGCTCGCTAAAGCGGCGGGTGCGGAGCCATCTGGGGAGGTGAGAGATGAAAAATTGCACCGCCTTGTGCAGTCTGGTAGGTGATACATCGAACTAGTTAATGGGCTTATAACCAATTTATAATGCGGTCTGGTAGGTGATATATCGAACTAGTTAATGGGCTTATAACCAATTTATAAGTGGCGGAGCACCACCTTGTATTTTCAGATGCTTGGTGGACTCGGTTAGGCGAATCCTTGATGGACCTCTCCAGCACTGAGAAGCCCGTGGTGAACGCCTCGGACGACCTGCCGCCTCCGCCCGAACCACCTGAGGCGGGCGGTGAAGGGGACTTCCACAGCATTGTTTGATGATCTTCTGCAGATGTTCTATGGAAAAAATGTTTTTTTCAATGTTCAATTGGGAACATTACATTTTCATGTGGTTTGAGGTTGAATAAACATGTTTTGATCAGGAAGGGATTGGATTTCAAAGCGAAGCTTGTTGAATAATATGCCCATGTTTGTCTTGATTTCATTCATTAATGCGGTGAAGCCAACAACAGTCAGACTCAACCATTTCGGTGTGTATAGTTTTGATTATGTCCCGTTTGGAAAATCATATCGGTATCGGGTATTATACAATGGCTCATGTTTTTGAGTCTACCGCATGATTTTATAGCCACAGTGGGGATCCCAAAATCACATGGAGGGAAATTCACTTGGAAACTCATGTTTTTCTAAAGGTAACAAATGGTTTCCCGCAACTGTTGCCTAAAATCAATCCATGCAATCTAAGATTAGCCCTGCTTGGTTATGGAAACAGTTGGATCTTCAATCTAAGATTAGCCCTGGTATTGAAGCCTGTTTCCTGCGTCCATGCTCCCAAGCTGATCTGTCATCTGTCACCTGATTTGATCGATTTGGGTTTGCCTACCTTGCGTCGCACTGCGCGTCGCAACAAGCATCGGCAGTGCTGGTCCTTAGAAAGCACTTTTGCACAGCCCGTTGCCCAGCCCAAACATCCGCTCGGCCACGCGTGGACGGTCCTGGCTGCATCCCGTGATTCTCTACTCTGCTTCCATGCCACTTTGCGAACTTACCAGTGCCGAAAATGCAAGAAAGGAGCCACCACCTTCAAGCAATCTCCCCCCAAAGTCTGTGTTGATGCTGGCCCCTCCTGTTGTTGGATGCTTTGGTTTCGTCCGTTGACTTCCCTCAAAGGTACCGTCGGAACTTTCTTGGGACCCCGGACTGCAATCCTTCGCTCCCGCACCTGTCTGCCGTCTTCTCCTGCTGCCGCGTTGGCTCTGCTCCCTTGTCCCCGTCTGCTGTGTGCACGTTTGTCCCTGGCTGGGCTCACTTGCCTATGGCAAATGGAGCCTCGTCATATTGCTGGTGGTTCTCGCATGCCAACCTAACAAAGCAAACCCCTTTGGATGCAATGAGGGTTCCGAACGTAGCAGCAGGCATGACCTCGGCGCAATTCACACTGACCTTAAGCCCATGCAACGATAGACACTGGCAACAGCAATGCCAAGTAATGACAGCTTTCGCACCTTTATATGCAAACACATCACCCCGTTAGACACTTGTTGGCCCATCTTGTAACTTTCTGAATCATTTTGAGCCATTTTGAGCAACTTTGAGCAGTTTTTTCGGGCCAGCTTGGGTCATTCTGAGCAATTTTTTCGGGCAAGTTTAGGCTTAGGTCATGTTGAGCAATTCTGAGCTGCTTTTGATCGAGCAGGCATTGTGTATGCGATCGCTACCTAGAACGGTTGAGTAATAAACACCAAATATCAATTTATGAGCGGGCTACAACCCCACAAACAGATACCAACTATTGTAAAGGGGATGATCCTCCAAGAAAGAAACAGGCATGATTTTAGTATTATAGAACCTGTGGATCCAGATACTTCCTGAGAAGGCACTTAGCCCATTTTTCCTCCGAAACCATACCCCAACTACTTACAATTAGCAAGGTGGTTCCCCAAATCCTTTCCTAAGTTGGTGGGAAGTTCAGGAGGTCAAGTGTTGGGTTTGTGGTAGATATAGTTTGTTTTTTTCCCATACCCTCTGCTAATCTAAGCAAGATAGCAACGGAAAATGGCCACGATTTGTTGGTAAATCATATACATGGGTTGAATTTGAGGACCCCCAGTGACATGTTTGTTGCTTTAGTTTCACTCCATAAATAAACGCATATTCTCCATAAACCCTAGCTGACCGAGTGAACAAAGTCAGCTTATTTTTTTCGCAAAATCAGCTATCAATCCCACAAAAAAGTTCATCAAATCATATTAAACCACAATGTTTATTTTTTTTGATGAAATATGATTTGATTATTTTTTCCTGTTTTCATGGTTTAATATGATTATCAAATTTCATATACAAGATATAATGGTTTCATTTTTTCCCCAGGTTTCATGGTTATCAATCCCAACCCTCATTTACCAGGACCCGCCTGAGAGCGATCCTGAGTCTCCCGATTCTCCAGAGCCGGGGAACTCCAGCGGCAAACCTTCGTTCAGAAAGGGGTTCAAAAGGGTCAACCAATAAAGATTGTGATTTAACACTGGTTGGTGGTTTGGTTCATTTTTTATTTTTCCATATATTGGGAATAAGGTGAACAACTGACTAATATGTTTCAGAGGGAGTGAAACCACCAACCGGAAAAAAATGTGATTTAGATGATTTAGCCAGTAAATATGCTGAGTTAAGCAATCGCCAACGGTGATTTAATTCAATCACAATATGATGGTTTAAACAATAAAGACATGGGTGAACAGCCAACAACGATGGTGATTTAGCCATCGAGAAATAGAGATTTCATCAAAAACCCACTGAAATCTGGCAATTTGTTGATACATCATCTACATCCTGAGCACGGAAAAATCACGTGGCCTCAAAACGCGCAAACCAAACAGCTCGGTGTTTGCCACATGCAGATCATGCAGGAGCTGTGGCCAGCTGAAATTTCCACCAACGCCTAGGTGCAGTCGTGCCTTTGTGGGGCAACCCTTGGAGTTTTTCTCCAAGACAGCGCAGCGCTGGCTCCCCTGCGCCTCGTTGAAATTGTTACGGGCCTGTGTAACATGGGATGCCTTGAAATGGCTGCCACATGGGGAAAATATGGGAACATCAGGATTCATATTGATGCATCTATTTTGGCAACTGGGTTACATACCAGTTACCCTATTTTAAGACAAAACCGTTTTATTTGTGAGTTTTTTTGCAGTGTGTCCTGCAGTGGACATTTGTTTGTTTTTATTTTCCCGGAACATCTGCAGGAAACTGAACCATATTTGAGGCTTAAAACTCATCATCCGTCCAGATAACTTGATTTTCCCAAGAAACATCCATGAAATCCAGGGATTGGTAAATGTCCCATTTTTGGGATAATTATTGGACACCACCCTTTAATGGCCATTACAGATGATACACCTCATGGTTGGGTGATGTGAAAAATTGGGACGTTTAATGACCCATGAAATCCCATGAAATCCCATGAAATCCCACCATTTCCTGTGGTGCACTCCCAGCATTTTTTGAGGTGAAGTGATCAACGTTCGCAGCGACCTGGCCATCATGGTGACCGTGAAACCCAACACCTGGCTCTCCTTGGAGGTCGTGAAAAGGGGGATTTTGCTCGGAGCAAAGTGGCGATTTTTGGTGAAAAAAAATGGTTGGGGATGGAGAAACTGAGAAATCCTGCGGATTTATGTCCGAAACATCCTGATTTTCCAAGAGTTTTGTTGGATTTAGTTGAGGTGAGGTCCTGAAAATGCTTGCTATGGATTGGTCGACTGAGTCTGTTGGTTGAGCTCACTATGAATGGAAGAGTGACGCCATAGATGGGAATACATGGGAATACACCCATCAAAAAATGGGGATGTGCGGAAACAAACATGGGATGCAGTGGTAATTATGATCATGGAGTCGCCAGCTGGTTTCAAACAGCTCGGGTGGATTTTGTGTTTCAGTGGAGTAATTATAAGATTAGAAGTGTATTGAGATGGCAAATGTTACTTTCAAAAAACTCACAATATTGAACTGAGAGTGGAACTCTAGATATGCAGCAACCTGCGAAAGAAGCAGTTTCTCTTTTGTGGGTTGTCTTCAACCCCATTGCGATCCCACATGACTAAAAAGTCTGCATCAGTACCACCAACTGGATGATGGGACTCTCAACCCTATGTTGGCACTTCTCTGTGAAGACACAACATGCTACGGCCTACAGGACCAAAGGATACGGATACGAGAGCCGCAAGTGAAGGCAGAGCGTGGTTCGGGTGGCGAATTCAAAGCGGGTGTACCAACATGGATGTGTCCTGAATTGTTTATAGTACGTACATTGTACATCAAAAGTGACCAACTTTATAATGGTGACGGCCAGACGGTCAGGGTCACTATATAGCTCTACTCTTGGAGGGTTGAAGATGTTGAAGCATGTTGAAGCTTCACCGTGAATGGTTTATTTGACACTTGACTTGTTACAGCCCCACTTAGACCATCAGAGGATCACACCGATTTTAAAGGGAATTCTCTGTACCATATATTGTTATGGTTGGTCTTGTTCTTCCTTCCTGAGGAATCTTCGCTTTCTGAGGCTTTGTTGTCAAACAACTCGTCTCCCTGTCAGTTCAAGGCCCCTAACTTGCAATTGTCACTCTGGCCTCCCCCAATGTCATGTTGGCAGTTCTTTCTTTTCAATCATATAGTTGGTGCTATCATGTCTCGGGTATAAACCCAAGTTTGGTGATATAGACCCCACACTGTTGGATCTTGCTGGGCATATTTTTTTATGCAGCCCATTTCAGCCCTATTCTTGGTGAACATCCAGCTTTGTTGAGGCCAAGCTGAAGCTGGCTATACCGATATACCCTCCAGTAACATGACGACCCTGCCAGTCACCGGGGTTGGAAGATTCGTTTCCACTAAAAATGTGTTATGTGCAGGGTCTATGTTAATTTGCCAGAGAATGCTAGTAACATGGATGATCTCGACTAATGTCAATCCCGGATCTTGCTACTGATCTGGTTGATGAATTAGGGGAATTCTCCCCAGTGACAATTCGGGTTTGTTGGAAACCAGTGAGAATTGCCATTGAAGCGACCCTTGAAAAATCATTTAAAAAACAAATGCTGTAACACCCCAACGCCACTAAAAACATCTAGAAATCATTATAACTAATAGCCATCAACATCCATCAACCATCATTCATGATCAATAACCATTACATAAACATCATCCTACATCCTTCTTTTACATATTGTCTTTCTGCACTACTTCTCTCCGCAGGATCGAGGCGTGGAACAGGACCATCAGCCAAGGGCTCAGCTACAGCTCATGTGGAGCTGCTTGCTTGGAGGATCACACCACTTAGGAACTGTTGTGTAACCGTAGTTATATGATGTTATATGATGTTATTATTTATGAAGCATAGTTTTATAGTTATATGATGTTCTATGTTAATGAATGTTATTGACATTTGTAAAAAAACAACGACAACGACAACAACAACAACAACAACAACAACAACAACCGGTTGTGAACCCGCGAGAATGACGAAATGTGTGGTTCCAATGGAAAGCGTGTTGAAGCCCCAGATTGGCATCGGGAACAACATCATGGGACATCCAGTGAGATTTTTGGATCACCAAACCACCATCTAGTTGGATGATTCCCGGCTAGTAAAAACTTCATTCAGTGATTTTTTTTCCCAGCTAGCCATGTTTGATGATATAATTTCATTAGAAATCCCTGTAAGTGGTATAACCCAATATGTCCCATTCTATTGCCATTATACCACCATTATTGGTTGTTCAATTCCCATTCAATTCCATTTTGTTGCCAGTTGGTTGACCCAAAACCTTCTCGGTTGCCACTACGCTTCCCATTGATATTCCGGATTCCCTGATGGGCCATCATGCCACAGGCAAGACTTGGGCCAGCTGATGGTGGGCCAGGCAGTTGAGACTTGGAGCAGGGGAAAAACGGACCGATTGAACCATTGAACCGTTTCCAAGCTGGCCATTCAGAGCAGTTTTGGATTTGGGATTTCCCATAGGATCCATGTATGCCACATATGGATATATATGGTAACATTTACCATCAATATTTCTCAAATGTTACCATATATAGCATACATGGATCCTATGGGATTGGGTATTCCCAAGAAAAATGGACCTGGAAATTTTTTGGGTCGGAAATTCGATGAGTTTCCGGAGAGTGACCAAATGAGTTGGGTTCCAGTCACTGTGGATACTGGTCAAACCTGGGATGGGTAGTTCAGTACTAACTAATCTCTTGCTGTAAGCGGGGGATATGTACTAACCATTTTTTTTTTGCGGCCATCCAAGATTGGCAATGGATATTGGTTCGATGTCGCGAATTTCCATGGGTTAAGATGGGTAAAAGTTGTTGCAAGTTCGCCGTGCACATCCAGATGTACAAGACCTGTAGCCTCTAGTATACAAAATGTTTTTTTTAGCCGTCAACAAACGTTTTAAGTTCGTTCCAGATGCGAAGCAGACAAAGGGTTGTACAAGACATATATAACTCAATATAACTTATATTATGAGCTATGGTTGAAAGTTGGATTAGACCACACTGAGGGATGGTCATCAAGCCCTTGGGATTTATATAACCAGCATAGGGACCAATGATGGTGGGATTATCCAAAATCGTATGGGATAGGGTTAGCAGAGAAGTGCGCAACATCATCTAAAATAATTTACTGGTTAAATCACATTTTGTTTATGGCTGAAGTCACAAATTCGATGGGCTAAATCATCAACGAGCTGGGGTAACAAATGGATACAAAGGGAGGATGATCTCCCAAAAACTGGTGAAATCACTCATTTTCTATGGGTGGGTCACCCCAAAAAAGGTCCAAAAACCGCCCCTTAGGAATATTTCAGCGCGTCAGCAGGGCGATGGATTCCCTGTGAAGTCACCATGGTGGACGCGGAGTGCATCGGCGGCCGATTCATAAGGGATAGTGAGGATATAAAAGTGTATACATAACTTACATAATACCCTATGATTATGATATATTATATAATACATTTAAAATTATATATTATCTTTAGAGAGAGAAAGGTGATAGGTGAGACGTAGTGGTGTTTTGATCAACTTGTTTAATGGTAGAAACATACACCCCCCATATTCAACATGGAACCCAACAGTTGGACCATGCGAAATGGGAATTTAATTTCCATCTATTTTCAGGTTCCATTTTCAATTTAGCAGGGAAGTATTTGGGTAACTCCCATTTACAGATTCTTTTCATTTTAGTTGTCATGTATTTCCTGACTTTCCTTTGGAGAAAACGGCCGAAAGTGTTGGGGCTGGCGGGAATGGAAGATCAACTTGTGTGATATTTTGGCACGGAAGACGGGGGATAAATTAAACAAAACGAATTTTCATTAATGTGTACCAACTTGTTCAACCCATACGTGGGTATTTTCTTGTGACTTTGGAAGTAATCTAAACTGTGTTGCATTGGTACACTTGCAACCATTGAAAATAGTTTACTACGCCATTTCATCAACATCACTGCTACCAAAAAACACAACGGGTGCTTCCAACTGTCTCCTCGCATGTCGGGGTGTAAGCCGATCATTTCCAGTTTGTTTTAAGGGAATTTTATCTCCCCAGTTTATTACTGACACAATCAGCTACAAGCTCGTCTCCCTTACCTTTCAGTTGGTTTATAAACCTCATGAACTATAGTTCTAAGCCATCTAAACACTAGATTAGCTACTTGTAAACCAACTTAGCTAAGGATCGGGGGGCACCACCCTGAAAAGTGATGTGGAAACCCTCAGTGAAGATCCAGAAATCCCTATGTGAGCCCTACATCCTTTGGTTTAATCACCAGTATCTCTGTTAACATGACCATTTCATTGGGATACCCCCTTTCTCAGATACACCCAAGTATCATATTATTGATGATATATCCCCCCTATATCACCATTTTTTTGGCTACAGGTGGTCAATTATTCATCTTACACATGCCAATTTGTAGTGGTTAAATCCACCATGTTCAATCATTTTCAACATTTTTCAACCAATTATGGTTGATATATGTTGGTATATTCCCATGAACTATCCCCATATTTCTGACTTCCCCCTCAATTTATCATTCATGGATTAAAACCTTTCTTTTTCCCCATTGCATCTGGATTCTAGTTGGTCAAACAAAAATCCAATAGAGTCTCATAGTTTTGCTGTTGTTTTTGTTTTCGCACCTATTCTCAGTCATATCTACACCCATGAAATTGCTTCAATTTCCAGTTCTTGAAATTGGTTATCTGGTTGGTGGTTTGGAACATTTTTTATTTTTCCATATATTGGGAATAATCATTCCAACTGACTAATATTTTAAAACAATTATTACCAGTTATAATAACTCACCACATCTATTGGTAAACTCAGCATATATGTATGGGTGAAGTTCTCCATCCGTTACCACAAGCTGGTGCCCCAGGTTATAAATGGGTAATGCCATGAACTTCGAGATATCACCAACAAAATGTAACAAAAACCATGGTTTATTGCTTGTTTTTTTGCACCAACTTAGCGTTCACGAATCCAAAGAACTCACATGAAATCAGCATGTTTGCTAGTTAGATCATCTTCATTCACCAGAATTCACCATTGTTACAATTGTTCCACCATTTTTCCATATGTTTCCCACATGTTTCCCATATGTTTTCCATCTTACTGGTGCTTAGTAGGGAATGGATGGGACTGGGGGTTGCTGGGATGATTATTACCACCAGTTGCATGGCACATCCCAGGCAGTCCGTCCAGCTGGACGTGAAGCCGGGTGCCTGGATCCCCCGGCGGCACCAGCTCTCGCGGCTGCGCCGGGCTGCGCAGCCCGTAGTGCCGGGGGCGGATGGCAGGGCGTCCGCCAAGGCGGGAACGGCCCTGTGGTGCCATGGGATGTTGGGGGTTTGTAAAGTCAAAACCCAGGAAAAGTGATGGATTTTAGCGGAAATTCGCCAGGAAATGATAGGTTTTTAACTGGAATTTCACCAGGAACAGTAAGGACTTCAGAGGATTTTGGATAGGAAAAGTAAGGAAAAGCATAGGATCATATGTATGTATATATATATATATAATATAATATAATATAATGTAATATAATATAATATAATATAATACAATATACTAAAATACAATATAATATAATATAATATATTATATCATATATACATGGTGATTTAACCAAACAATCATGGAGGTTTAAGCAAGACAAAGTACTGATTCAACGGAATAAGTTATGTAGCTGATTTATGACAGCTAAAAGCAGAGCTAAGCTGGAAAGAAAGGGACGGCAGTGATGGGATATCGCCGCGAATTGAGGACTTACCAGCCAGGGTTGATCATTCTGGGGTTTGTTTGACCATCAAACAGATGGTACCCCGTGGTAAACCAACATAACTATGGAAAATCACCATTTTAATGGGTACTGTAAATCAACTGTAAATGGCTATTTTCAATAGCTATGTTAGTTTACCAGATGAGAAGTGATGATTGGTCGACATTTTTTCGCGGGTTGTACTGGTTATACTACCCGAGATACGAGGGATTATCATCCAACCTCTACAATTAGAGTCTCTTGAAGACTGCTCAGGTGGTGATCATCCTTAAACAGAGGATATGACTAAAACAACCATTCTTAATCATGTTATATCATGTTTATGCGGGTATAAAAGACTGGCGTTGGTCGTTTAATGATGTTTTTGGCAGTAGCACGGTTGACATGTGTTTTTTCTATTGATAGTTTGATTCCAGCTAAAAACTATCAGTTCAAGAAAACCATCATTTCCTGGTTATGTTGGCCCCTGAGTTGTACATTTTACTGATCCAAAAATTTGTGTCCCCATGGTGTTCACACGTGTTTTCTTTTTGAGTGTGAGGCTCCAATGTATACTGGTTGGTGGCTTGGAACATGTTTTATGACTTTCCAGTTGGGAACAATAATCCTAACTGACTTTCACTCCATCATTTTTCAGAGGGGTAGGTATACCACCAACCAGATATATGATTAATTAACCATCATTAACCATCATCATAACCATTAGTATTAATCATTAGTATTAACCATCATCATTAACAGTATATTACCAACCAATGGTATGTAGGGCTCAACCACCAACCGTGTTTAGTTTTGTCTCCCTATCAGATGATGATCTCCGCTTGCGATCGCGCAAGCCAGGCATCCAGCTCGGGTTACCGCCAAGGTGTGCTTTTTTTTGGGTGGGAATTCACTAGGAACTGCTGATTTAATGGTGATGTAATGAGACTGGAATGGTGATATGAATGCATTTAATGGTATAGTACTGGTATAGTGGAATGTTCATGGTGTTTTTTTGGTGATGTCTTGGATTTTCATAGTATTCATGGGGATTCAATCATGATTCGGAGAGCAGAACATGGTGTAGAATCCCAAGAAATTAAGAAATGCAGGAAAACATGGATTTCAAATTTCAAGCAACAAAGAATGGAGGAAAATGGAGGTTTGATCTAATTAAAGCAGGAAACACTATAGCATTAGTGGGCAAACTGAGATTTAACCAGGGAAAAATTGACACGCATCGATACTCAGATTGACTGGTCATTCTCACTACCAACGCCTCAAAAAATACAACAAATACTGTAACTGTCAAATGTTGTTGAGTCAACTGGGTAACATACAACACTGGTATATTAACGGACCCGAGTGATTTTTCCAATTTACCGCCACATGAAACCAAATGATAGCTATGGGGGTTTCTTGAAATAGGGAATCCCCAAAACCATTGGTTTCAATTTTTGTTTTAATACAACTTGCTGGTTTTTGGATGATTCGGGGGTAGCCCCCCATTTTAGGAAACCTCTATTTGTGCTTGTGCCAAGTGATATGAGCCTCCAACGAACTCAGCAGAAGTGGTAGTTTGGACGACTATTATGATTCTTAAATGAAGAAACAATTTGAAATATATATATATATAAAAACCAATGATATATATATATATATAAGATTTAAGTATTTAATATAGTTTCGAGTTTCTTCTTTCAGGTTACTCGAACACCGTCCTCTTCTTTCCCTACGTTTTTTTGAATCCGAAAAAAAAAATCAGAACGGCGCTTCACAACTGTCGACATCTGCAGATACGAAAGCGCTGGAGTACTATTCCTTGAACCTCACTGCATGGATCCCATGTGTGATCTTGGAGGAGGAAACCAACGGGCAGAGAACACCTGGGGCTGTGATTTCCTGGGATTTCTGGGAGCAGCTGGGATAGGGCCATAGGGTCAATATGTTTGGTTTTATGTGAAAATAAAATGGTTATAAGCTAAATAGTTTTGTTTAGTTTTATGGGAAGATTCGGGAAGATAGAGTAACAACATAGTAAGCCAAAGCAAGATTCCTTTATAGGGTAGCTAAGCTCGCCCATGTAAAATCCCGAAAAATTGGGTTGTGATCCCTGTACGAAAGCCTAATCTTGCGGAAGGATTCAGGTTGCGCAGGGACATGTGTTCCAGTTCCTAACCGGATAACGACCCATGTATGTATAATTATGTTAGTTATGTTATATACTGTAGATATACATATATGTATGCGTGTAGAATATGTATAGAGGATATCCCAATACTATATATATATATTATATACATATGTTATGTTATATATGAGCCAGGACGCCCAAGCCCCCCCCCACCCATGGTCCCCGCCCCCCCTGTGGTCTGGGATGGTGGTATGGTTCTTCTGGTCCCCCCCCCCTGTGGCCTGTGGTGGTGGTGGTGGTGGTATGGTTCTTCTGGTTCCCCCCCCTGTGGCCTGTGGTGGTGGTATGTCATGTTGGTATGTTGGTATGTTGGTATGTATGTATGCATGCATGCATGCATGTATGTACGTATGAATGTATGAATGTATGAATGTATGAATGTATGAATGTATGAATGTATGAAATGTATGTATGTATGTATGTATGTATGTATGTATGCATGTATGTATGTATGTATGTATGTCTGTCATTCATGTATGTATGTATGTATGTATGTATGTATGTATGTAGGTATGTAGGTATGTAGGTATGTAGGTATGTAGGTATGTAGGTATGTAGGTATGTAGGTATGTAGGTATGTAGGTATGTAGGTATGTAGGTATGTACAATGTAGGTATGTAGGTATGTAGGTATGTATGTATGTATGTATGTATGTATATATGGTCCCGTGTCCCGTGTTCCCGAGAGCGTGAGCTTGGGGGACCATACCATTGGGGGGGGTCCCAGGGATCCGGAGTCCGGACTCATATATACATGTATTATGCGGGTATAATATGTATAGAGGATTTCCCAATAATATATATATATATATATACATACATATGTATATACATGTACAATGTGTATAGATGATATCCCAGTATACATATATATATATGTATATATTGCAATGTAGAACTATTTATAAAGTGTATGTGTACATGCAACCATATATTATACCGTTTGGTTATTTAACGTAGCTATGGAAAATCGCCATTTTGGATAGGTAAATCATCATAAACCCTCTATAAATGGACCATTTTCCATAGCTATGTTAATTCGCCAGAGGGTAGATCTAAATTAATGTATGGATTGATCAACAATACGTATCAATCAACCCTTCCCTACCAGGGCGCCTCCGGCAATGTGGTCATCGATGCCCTGCCATACGTTCGGATCCCATACGTTCGACAGGATGGCTGTTGAAGTCGAGGATTGGGTCGGAAAAAACGTGTGTTGACGGCCATTAAAACAATAAAGGACGCTAATGATGATGGGATTTTGGATGTGTTCCAGTACTTTTCAGACAAACCTAGTTGTACCTGAATTGTTTGGGTTTGCACAAGGCGATGATGGTGCAAAGTTTGTTGAAAAAGGATTTGCAGGTAATGTAAACAACTTTATATACTGCAATTCCTGTCCTCGCTGCGAATCCCAGCGGCTTCCATGTCTTGTCACCAAGAAGTTAAAATCATTATGGTCGACTCCCCAAATTGGATAGCCGGATCGTTTCCAGAAAGTGTCCACCATAGACGTGTTTTGTGTTTATATTTGCTTGGTTGGTTGAAATTGCGGGGTGTGTCAAGTGCCATTTCTTGCAGCGAAAGGGTTAAATTATGATTTATGAACATATAACATATACCATAGGATCCATGTATGCCATATATGGTAACATGTGGGGTATATTGATGGTAAATGTTACCATATATGGCATACATGGATCCTATGGGTATATAGACACTACCACATCACTGTTTACTTTTTCCCAATAGGATCAACACTAGTGTAAAATGTCAATGATGGCTTTTTCAGGGAATCCTCTATTTTCAGAAGACATATCCTTAAACCAAACATGTGTACTGCAAAGTATTGGCACGTGGCACCTGTCCTATTTCTGGAACAAGTTCCAAGGGCAAAATTGGATAAAATTGGAACATGATCGCACATTTGTGCCATGAACGCTTGCATCCTCATCATTACGGGGATTCATCCTGTGTTAACCCCCAATAAAAATTATTAAACAAATCACAATTTTACCGGAAATGGGGTGGTATAAACGGATCTAAAATCGGACTTAGTGGGTTATAAACCATATATAAACCATATATAAACCATATATAAACCATATATATATATATAAAAACCATATATAAACCATATATAAACCAAAAACAGACAGGATGGTTCCCCCCAGTTATAAGTTGGTTTATAAACCCCATTAATTAACTCTAGTTCTACCTACCATCATCCATAGATTTCAGCCGAGGCTTGGATCACTCCAGCGCAGCAGGCCAGTTACCTGAGCACCTCGGCGTTCGAAAAACATGGGTGGTTGAAGCAATAACAAAATGGTTGGTTGATGGTGGTTAATAATGTTTTTCATAGTGGTTGATGAGGTTTTTTCAGAATGGTTGACCCATACTCCTAGGTCAATCTTCGATGGGAATTCTTAAGCATCAACAAAAATCGGAACTTAACCATCAACAGATCAACAATAGTGTTTTTTCTTTAATAGGATTTAGGAAATGGGGATGAATGGGATTTCGACAGGGCAATCTTAGATGGGTAGAAACTAATCCAAAATAGTGTTTTGGTATGGGATTATCTACGTTCACCAGCAAAGTTTTTTTTTTGCATGGTATCTAAGATTGGCAATGAATTTGGGATCAAACATATCAAGATACCTTAGTGAAGGGCAGTTGGATAAGTTTGATATTTGAATGTGTTCTTCTAAATGGGGATATACACTACCCAGATACTCTGCAAGTTGTTTTGTTTTGCAGATGGAAACGTGCAATAATTGTCATGATTTGGAGGGTTCTTTGACATCTCAATTTGACAGTGACCATTAACATGGTGGGACGAATATTGGCCAGTTTCTTTGAGGTATTTGATTTAGTGGATGATTGCGAAATCCTGCACCAGTTGATAGGTGGTAAATACATCCTATTAATCTACTATTTATAAACCATTCAATAGGCTTAATGGGTGATATGTTTACCATTCCCAAATGGGTGGTTTATTGTTGCTTTACCCACACTATTATTGTTGGGGTTTCAACCATCCTTTTGGTTTTTAGGATTTCTTCCATCCACAGTACCTGCTCAGGACCTGCTGCTGCGCCAGGACTCCAACTCAGTGTCTAGGCCGAACAGGTGGATGTACCCCAACTAACACTGGCGGATTCCAGTGGGTGAACCTGAAAATGGATCAAAATGGGGATATACCCCGCAGATCTCTGGAAATTTCAATGGCGAAAGTGATTCGATTTGGATGATCTATGGGGTATTCTATGTTCAGTCAAGCCCCGTACGGTTGATTTTGAGTTTCAGCCCAGCCGTGACGATGTGCTTTGGATGGGTTGAAACCACCAGAAACAGTCTGACCCTGAGAATCGCCAATTTTTGGAGGAATGAATTGTCTTCTCACCAGTTTGAAAGGCAGAATCCATGTTAGTTGAGGAAAACTCTAACATAACTATGGACAATCACCATTTTTCATTGGTAAATCAACTATTTCAATGGCCATAGTTGTTCGGAAATGCTAAGAAGGCAAGCAACTGGCGACGATTCGGGGTGATCTAATGGAGGTTTAACCAATCCATGGGATATCCATGGCCGGTTCGATGTTCGGTTTCGTTTCTACAAGGCTCAACTGATTTAAACACTAAGATTCACCATTCACGTTGTGACCTTGGCTTTGATCCTTGGCATCCTTGGCTTTGGGTCGTTTACAGCAATACAGTTACATCATAGATTACAAATTGATGTATGATGGGGGCTAGATTCTATGTCTTGAAGCAATACACAAAAAACCAGGACGAATTATTTCGAGGAACATGCTGTAAGTGCTTCATAGCCCTGCAAAAAAGAAGTTCTCCAAGCTCCAGGGATAGCCGGGTAGAAGTTCTGCTCCGCCTTGAAGCCAAGGAATACCACTGATTGGTGACAAGGTGGTGTACTTCTCCGCTTCACATAAGCGCTGGATTCCCACCATCGTCACAGACGTGGGTGAGCCTGGGCAGAATTTTGTTGATCTGAAACTTGGGTAGGTCCCAAATCCAAAGGGTTCAATGGTTATTATATGGTTATTATATGGCTATTACATGGTTATTATATGGGATCATAATGGGATATACCAATAATACTGGTTAATGATGGTTAATGGTTAATAATCACTGGTTGGTGGTTAGGAACATGGCTGGATTATGACTTTCCATTCAGTTGGGAATGGAATAATCATCCCAACATATTACCCAACTGTCTTTAACACTCCATGATTTTTCAGGTAGGTCAACCACCAACCAGATATCATTGGTTGATCAGATCCTCATGACAAAATATGACAAAAACGACCAAGCCACGACTGCCAGGACTGGTAGTATCACGACTGGACAATCGATTAACTAGATATTTTCTGGTGATTGTATCTAGATATTGTATTTGCACCCCATGTAAAACATACATGTATCATAGTAACATGCTGACTAGCATTGCGGCTCAGGACAAAAGGCGTGAGTCGCTAGCTTAACGGTTGTTTTGTTTCCCCGTTCATAGGTTTATCAGTCTATTTGGGATTATAGTAATAACCCAGCTGAAACCTGAAAATACAGGTTATCAGCCGTAGTCTCTAAAGCCATGGAACGGACAACTGGAGACGCCTCAGGTGGAGGTGCCCTTGTCCCTGCTTCAGGAACGCTGGCGACTGCGTCAACTGGACCTCAGCCGGTAACGGCTGGGGCAACACCCACGCCCATGTCGGTAGATGAAGGTTTCTTCACACAACCCGTCCAGGCGTATTTTCAGTTTGTGCAGAACAATCTTACCTACATCAACGAAGGTAACATTGACGCTTTCAGGCAAGAGGCAGAGGAGAGGCACACACATCTCATGGAACAAAAGGTCCAGCAACTGTACCAAGAGTTTGAGGGAATTTGCCTTAGCGAAATCGCCCATCAACGTGCAGAAGCTGATCGCAGACATGAACACCTAGTGTCAGAGTATTCAATGTCCCAAACGGCAACTGAGCATGAGGTAGCAAAACTGAGACAGGAACTTAGCGATGCAAACGCAAAGCTAAAGAATGCTGCAAATGCAGTTGCACTGGAAGCTGAACAAAGAGCCAACCAAAAGGTAGCCCATGTTACAGCCCAGTACGAACAAAGGTTTTCTGAACTCAGAGGTAGCCTCGAGGCAGACTGTAAACGAATCGTGGACGAAACAGTGGAGTATGCAAAGAATGGCATGGAAGGTTTCAAGAAGGAGGAACAAGCTGTAATCCAGGAGATTAGAGAGGAATGCGGTAGGCAGGAAAACCAAGCTGCTGAACTCAACTTCCAATTGCAGGGACAAGTGGAGGATTTGATGGAGAAGCTCAACAAGTACAGCGCCCCGGAAATCAATGTCGACAGAGCCGTTGAAGTTGATGATTCACAAGGCGGGAACAATGTCGATTTGTACATGACCCCAAAATCAGCGGTCGGTACTAAGGCTGGAGCAGAACCCATGCCAAACACTGGTATGAGTAGCTTAGCCATGGACGCCAAGGAAAGGCTGAGCAACTTGTTCTCCACAACCCCTGCCGGATCAGCAGCCCCTCCAAAACTGCCACCATTGCCAGTTCAAAGACAAAATGATGATGATGCAAACCAAGAACATAGTGTGCCCAGTCCTACAGTAATAGCAAGCGACCCTGGCAAGAAAGCGGCTGAGGCAGGCTTAGGTCTTTCAGGTCAACAATTGCTAGATCTCATCACCAGACTGACTTCAAAGGATTCAGATGGTGAAAAGCCCCGAACAAAAGAGGCAGAGACTATCAAACTGAACGACATGCCTGCCCCAGAAGCGTATCGTCACTGGCGTAATCATGTCAGGGATGAAGTCAAGTCGTGCTCTGACAAACCCGATGAGGCTTGGCTTTGGCTCAATGAAGTCTTTGACAACAAAACCCCTAGGGAAAAGTTGGAGGAAAAGCTGCAGGAACCTGGGAAATTTATCACACTTGACACCAAATTGTCGGCAGCGTTAACTCGCTCGGCCAAAGGTGATTTAGCAACAAAGATCCATAACTTCAAAGATGAGAAGTCAAAGAAAGGGATCCAAGTCAGAGGTAGGAGAGTCCTTTTGATGTTTGAAGATTACTTCAGGACGTCTGAGGAAGCTGGCAGTCTCTACCGCGTCGAGGACCTACTTGGAGTCGTTCGCACTGGAGAATCTGTGGAGGACCTTAGAAGGTTTCTGAACCGATGGGACGCCACAATTGCCGGCATGGAAACCCCGCCAGATGATTTGGTTCTCAGAGACATCTTACTCAGACAAATCCGAAAATGTCAATTGATGAAGTATGACATCGAAGCATTTGACAGAGCTCCTGAAAAGTCAGAACAAAAGTCTTATGCATTCTTGTTGAGAAACATTCGTGATCTTTTGGATAGAGAAAGACTCCGTTCAAACAGAAACAGAATCGTTGAAAAGAACAAGCAGACCGAAAAGCCTCAGCCCGCTGCACCCGCTCAGGGGGGCAAAGATCGCGGCAAAGGAAAGGGCGACCGAGGTCGAACCCGTGGTCGTAGCCAGAGCGGAAAAGGGGATAAAATATGCTACAAGTTCAGGGATGGCAAGTGCGAAAAGGGTAAAGACTGTCCCTACAAGCATGTCAAAGATTCCTCAAGATCTGGTACCCCCAAAAGGAAGGGTAAGGGCAAAGGTGGTAGCAGAAGTGGTTCCCCCAACAGAAAGTCGAAGGAAGAGATGGCCAAGATCCCATGCACTTACTTTCAACAGGGCAAATGTCGTCGTGGTGACAAGTGTTTTTACAAACATGAAGTTGCAGCTGCACCCACAAAGGATCCAAAACGCACCAATAGCCCTGCACCAAAGAAGAAGGCCAGTGCAAAAGCTGCGCCATGCATTACTCAAAGGTATGCATGCATAGCAAAGGGAAAAGGGTTGCCGAAAGCTACAAAGGCCATGAAAGAACAATGCCATAGAGCTATTGTGTTTTCATCAAAAGTGGAATACATCAAAGTCCCAGCAACAGGTGAACAGAGGAAGGTAGTGCACAAACCCCGAATCTATGAGAAGACGTTCCCTGATTCAGAGTCAGTGCCAAAACCCGACAAACTCGTGGCTCACCGTGCTCAGGTTTCGGCCCGACAGTTGCAGGAACTTGTGAAGCTCTTCGGCAGTGAGACGCAGCCCAAATGCCGATTCCGATGCAATGACCCAGAAGGGGGAGTATCATGCAACCACTGTAGAGCAATGATTGGTCCCAAGAACAAAGTCAGTAACACTCATTTGCCCACTGTTGCTACACCGGCATCAAAAGATGGATGTGTTTGGTTGGTTGACACGGGCAGTGAACAGGATTTGATTAGTGAGGGTATGCTGAAGACTGCAAAGGCGACAAACCGCCGTGTCAGCGACACTCCGATCAGCCTTGCTACAGCAAACGGTTCGACACGAGCGGATGAGGTGGCCGACGTAAAGGTCGATGCCCTACATCAGCCATTTTCACCATACATTCTTGAGGAAACTCCTGCTGTTCTTTCGGTTGGGGTCAGGTGTATGGAACAGGGTTACAGTTTTGTGTGGCCAGCTGATGGTAGGCCTTACTTCATTCGTCCGGACATGGGAGTCATTGAGCTTAACGTAGACGGCCGTGTGCCGGTTATTGATAGCTCTTGTCGTGTTTTGAACAGTGGACAGTTCAAGAAAGATTGTGATCTGTTACGTCTTTTTGCAATGGTTGCTGCAAAAGCAGAAGGTGCCGATGAAGAAGGCGTGGATGAGGGAGGAGCTCATGATAGCGAAACCGAGTACGTCAGGTCTAGAAAGGCATCTGACCTTGAGCAAGAGGCATGCAGCAAATCTCACCAGTTTTGCCATTACCCCAAGAATCCATTTTGCAAAATCTGTCAGAAGGCGCGCATGATGGCGCCACCCGCAAAGAAGAAAGGGGGACAGAAAAGGTTGGAAACCAAAAGTTTTGGGGATCACATTGTCGCTGACCATACTGTAATCAAATCCAATGTGGAAGAAGGCGTCAAAGGTGAAACAGTGGCATTGGTGATGAAGGACATTCACACTCAGTTCAGACACGTCTATCCAAGTCAGACAAAATCGAGTGAGTCATGTGTTAATGCTTTCAACCACTTCTTATCTCACAAGGATGAAGTTGGGGCAGTTTACACTGACAATTCACGAGAACTTATTGCTACAATTTCAGAGTTGGGGTACAGACATCAAACATCAACAGAGTATGTGGACAGTTCAAAGTCGTTTGTGGAGAGGGAGATCAGGCACATGCTTGAAGGCACACGCACAAACCTCGTGCAGTCAGGTCTTCCATTGCAGTATTGGCCAATGGCTATGCAGCATTTCTCCATGGCAGTGAATGCCACGCCACAGCTCAACGGTGATGATGCCCCATGGAAACTCAGATTCGAAGAAGATTTTCCAGGTCAGTTGATTCCTTTCGGTGCAAAGATACTGTTTTGGAACAATCCAAAAAGGGTTGACAACACATCTGGAAAGACATCACCAACAGCAAATGATGGAATCTTTTTGGGATACCATATTCAACCTGGTTTTGCATGGAAAGGTGAGTATCTTGTTGCCAAGTTAGAAGCATTGGATTACCATGCAGAAACGGGCAGCATCACAGTGCAGCGAGCACGACGTGTTGAGCTCATCGCGGGAGGTTTTGTCTTCCCACTCCGTGCATTGAAAGAGGCCAAAGAGCCCAAGCCGGACCGCCTTGCTGACAATGTCATTGCTGATCCTCGTCCGATTCCGTTTCAATCCGAACTGCAAACAGAGGAACATGCAGAAGCAAGTGAAGAAGCAATTGACAAGTCAACGGAGGCAGTGCTTGACGCACTTGCCAGTGATGAAAGGCCGGCTGAGGAACCAGTTTTTCCTGATATCAAGTACACTCCAACTGGAACACCAATCCCGGATGGTTATCATTGGGACGGCACACGCCTTGTGAAAACGTACAAAGGGTCAAAAC